GAAATGACAGACAGGCTCTCTGTGGCTCAGTGCCAATACCCCAGGAGTGGCCTGTCATTTGACATTGCCAGAAATGAACCAGCAGAGATCTTGAACATTTCTCCCAGTAGGAGAAGCCAAGATGAAACAAGTGTTAGAAGGAATTACAGAATTGTGGTTACTGACAAAAACAGCATCCTACAAGGCCACAGTGGCCACTGTTACATCCTGCAGCACCAGCTCAATGCCAAGGAACTTAAATGCACCATGAAAGTACAGTAATCAAGATCTGGCAGCAGGACAGGAACAAGTTTTTTTGTGTTTGTTGAACATTTTTTGGTTTGCTGCTTTGGGGGCTTTTTTCTGGTTTTGGGTTGTCGTTGGTTGGCTGTTTTTTGTTTGGCTTTTTTCAACAGATCCTTGCATCGAGCAATGCTTCATGGCAAGTACAATAGTGATATAAGGCATTAGAACTCAACCAGAAGCTTAGGCATTACCCAGGTGTCACCAGCCAGTCCTCTGTCCCCCACATCTTGACAAATACCAGCAGATGTGGAGATAATACTTTAGTGCTCATTAGTTACTTAAGCATAAAATGACATTTCTTTACACCACTATAAGCACTAAAAAAACCTATTACATACTCTGGCACTTAATACAATACCATCACTGTCTCTTAACTGGAAATCCAAATAATAACAATTATGATGGTGGCAGCAACAGCATGGATGGCTAGCAATTTTCCTATCTCTTTCACTGAGATTTTTACAGTTGTTAGGCCTTGTACCCTTGGATGCTGGCAAACAGAACTGAAGGTTGAAAAAAAAGATATAAAATTCTGAAATGATAAAGGCTTTGTCTCAGGCCTCCCAGAAGTCAAATATGGAACCCTGATACATCTACTACAATTCTTGACTTGTGGATTTGTAACGTGTACCTGCCAGACCTCTTCATGCAGACAGGCAGAGGTAACATAGAACCATAGAATTTTAGGGGTTGGAATGGACCTTACAGATCATCTAGCCCCAGCCCCCCCTGTCATGGGCAGGGACACCTCTACACTAGATCAGGTTGCTCAAGGTCTCATCCAGCCTGGCTTTGAACACTGCCAGGGTTGGGGCAGCCACTACTTCCCTGGGAAACCTGTTCCAGTGTCTCACCACCCTCACAGCAAAAAGCCTTTTCCTAATATCTAGCCTAAATTTCCCCTCCTTCAATTTGAACCCTTTACCCCTTGTCACTGCAGTTCCTAACAAAGAGTCCCTCTCAGGCTCCCTTGCAGGCCCCCGTCAGATACTGATAATCTGCTACAAGGTCTCCATGTCATCTTCTCTTCTCCAGGCCTCAACTTCCTTAGCCTGTCTTCCTAGGGGAGATGCTCCAGTCCTCTTAGCAACTTTGTGGCCTCCTCTGGACTTGCTCTAACAGTTCCATGTCCTTCAATATTTGCTGATATGCAAAGTAAAATACATCATGGCAGTCATGTGGATGAGCCTAAGCAAATCAGTTACCAAGCAAGC